AAAACACCCAAAACACTACCAATTTTCCAAGAAACATAAAACCCAATAGAAAAAGTTGAGCTGAATTTGTTGTGGTAGGTTTGATCTGAATATGAACCTCACTCCGATTCTAGGAAAAGGTGGATCCGCGACTCGCTGAATTTGGGATTTTCTTTGAAAAAATAGACGGATCTAGAAAATGCGATTTCCTTTGTTCCGATTAGGATCCTACACTTAGTCTTATGGTTGAAGGTGGTGGATGGCGAGTGGGAAGGTGGAATTAAGTGGGTTAACATTGTTCTCTCCGTCAATACATTGTTACCCGTCAACACTTTTAGAACGGGGCTAATAGAACGGGAAATTACTTGGTTTATTCGCATGGACCATCGTGCCCTTCATTTAACTTCCTAAAAGACTGTATTGCCCCTAATATCAACAATCCAAGTTGATATCAGGTATTCACTTGTATTTCCTCTACTTTAATTATAAACTAGTTTGCACCCTAAATTATAATCGAACTATAAATTGAGTATACTGAGAATTAAATTAACGAAAAGCCCTAGATTGTGAAATAGAAATTCGATGATTAAAAAAGAAACCAACATCTTACCTCAGAAGCTTCTTCAATGGAACTTCGGATTGCACCCCCAAAAAGAAAATCATATAACTAATATATAAAGCTAAACTTTTAGCCAGGTCACGACGTTGCGACACTTGGCGTTCCAACTTTTCGCCAAGTGTTGTGCTACATTGTAGCGATTTAAATAGATTTCATAAGATTAAAAAAAAAAAAAAAATTTAGGATAAAATTTTAAGTTTAGAATTTTATTTTCTATAAAAGACCAATATTTCAGATATACAAAATGATTTATAATTTTATTCAAAAAAAATATTAAATTATAATTCTCAAAAACTATCATATAAATTTAATTTTTTATGTCATAATTTTTTTTGGAGCGAAAGAATTAGTTTAAAGTGTAAATGTACTTATAATATATATTAATCAGTTAAAATAATATAATTTACAACTAATAGAATTTTATTACTACATAGACATGTCAATTAGGGTTAAGTCATGAGTCATCTCGAGTTGGGTTACTTTAGGTTACGAGTCAAGAAATGTTCAACCCTTGCCCAAAGTTTTGGTTTCGGGTCAACCTAACGGGTTTTGAACATTTAAATTATTATTTGTTTACTTTTTTAATGTATTAAATCGAACATTATCACCAATATTAGTATTAGTCATTACATGCCTACTAGATAGCAAATCGTTACAAAACCACATCAATAAACTAATTTTGTATCAATGGTATATTTTAAAATTTGAAATATAGATTAAAAATTTATCTTTAAATTCAATAAACAACCCGGCATCGCACGGGCACAAAACTAGTTATTCTTAATAAACTTTGTTGTGGCACTGTCATTTAATTCTCGCTCCCAAACACACGCGCACACAATTTCCCTCGTCTTTGAAACTTTAGACTCCACATCTCTTTTTAGAATGAAAAAGATGCTAATTGATTGGGTTAGGCCCATATATATCTGGATTTTATCAGCCTTTGGATTTGGATATTACAATTTCATATAATTTTGAAAAGTCAAAGAAAGGTATCAATCCATATACCATGACTAAATAAACCCAAGCCCATACTCCACTTTTCATATATACTACCTCGTTTCGTATTATTTATAACAAAGGTATTTTATATCTCACAATTAATACCCTTAGCTGCAAATTATATGAGACAAAATTAGTAAAAACCCCGAAGATGTTTGGTGTTGTGGTTCTTGTACTCTAGTTGTATTCGATGGATGAGTCATTTAGAGTTTTATGTTATCTATGTTGTATGGGTCCATTACTAATGAACAATTTAAGTCACTTTAATTCTCGGGCTCGGATCGTGTAACTCTTAAAATAATTGCTCATTTGGGTTTGAGTTAGGGCCTCTTTCGAGCAACTTAACTAAAAAGAATTGATTGAGGTTGAACTGAACTGAACTGTTTATGATATAAGAAAATTAGGAAATGAACTGAACTAAAATTAAGCTAAACAGAACAGACCCTTAGCTTGAGCTAAATTATCGGATACAAATCAATTTAGTCAATTTAGCCACGAACCAACGTCTCCTGAATCCTGATGGTACGCGTTAGTGATGGGTGTGTGTGGCTGTGATGCATGATAGCAGCCAAGAAAGATGTGAAAAGCAGGACAAACATGAAGACATAAGACCCAGTACACAACACATGTTAGTTACAAGTACTCACTAAATGTACACAGTAAAGTGCTTGCCAACTGCCAACTTGTATTGGGATAGATAGAGAACTGACGTTTTTCTGCTCTTTACTACTGCCCCACTCATTGTGATTGTTAGTGTGCTTTCGTGCCATAGAGTTTAATTCTTCTATTGCTAAGCTCCATTTATCCAATCAAACTCTAATTTGGTTTCATATTTGAGTATATTATTCATTACTATTGAGTGTTACTCATAAAATTATTAGAGATAGACAATCGAGTCGGTTGAGGTTAGTGGGTACATTTAACTAATAAAAAGAACAATCACCATTCAACCAACTGTCAAGCAACGTCATAATGACACCTACTTCATATAACCCCTCACGTTTTCTTATTGATGTATTTTATTTTCGTTTTGAGGTGCTTTTATTTGACGTACTTAATTTTACTTTATTCTAATTACTTTTAACAAATTTTACCATCTTACTTTCCAAAAGAAAACACTAAGAGTATAATTTAATTTTATACACAGCTAGGCTTATCAAAACTTGTAATCATATTCTTTATATGTGCTATATGGTATTTTTTTTAAAAAAAAAAATTATGTATGGTAGAATCATCAAATCAATTATCAAAATTAACATGTTAAGAAGCTCAGAATTTATTTATTATTCAAAATCCTATGTTTAAAAACCATGCACATTATTTTCTAATAAAAATTTCCTTTTTTTTGTTTGAATAGAACTCTTTTTTTTCTTGCTTAAAAGCACAAAAAACTAGTCAAATTTATTCTTCTCATATTCTGTTTCCAAGTTTAGTATAAACTTTAAAGAGTGGGAAAAGAAATGAATACAAAATCGATCCAAAAGTAGGAAAAAGGGGAACCAACAACTTAAGTAATATGAGCTGGTGAAAAATCATTGGCATTGATTATGAGGAGCCCAGAATAAATAAACTAAGTAAAAAAAAAAGGCAGAGTATGGAGTACTTGTACTGTATCTTTGCATGTATGTCTTTTCTCTTCTCCCATCCTTCTCTTTTTCAGTTTTCACCACTAAATTTTGCCACTTACATTGCAGAGTTTAGTCTTCAACTTACTTTCTGCCTGCTCATTCTTGGCATGCCTCGTGTTTTTGAATCAAACATACCATTCATTCACTGACTATACACTTACACCCATTGATAGATACCCTACCGTCGATCCTTTTAGTAAGTGATCCTTTGATTAAATTTAAGAAGTTGCGTTTTCTAAGAATTTCTTGTAACGAGCTGAGTTCCGCTTTGTGAAAATTAGTTTGTTCGATGGTAAATGTAGAGGGTCGGGGATTAGGTAAATAACTTCCCTCAGTTTTGGCCTTGATTGAATCATAGTGCAGATGTCTCTCAATCAAGCACTTATACATTTTGAACGGAAAAATGTGTTAACTTTGCTTTTCATGCCAACCAAACGATCACTTTAGTAGATGTTGCTGCTATATGGTTTTAAAAACTGGCATATATCAATTACAGTGGAATGTTGGTAATAGTATACTAGTATAATTAGGCTCAAGTACAGCACTAATCTCTTAAAACTGCAAGATAACATTAATTGAAACAGACAAATTGACAGGACACAAAAGGTTCTAATGACATGATTAATATAATCATATAAACACACATAGTGCAAATCTGGCATATAATTAGTAGCCACTTATTGGGTTCATTAGGGATTTGGTCACATCATAATATGAACATTTCCTAAATAAAGCTACAATATTACTGTCGTCAAAAGTTGATAGATGAAGAAGTTTCCATGCAACTTCATTATTATTCCTACTAACTCTAAAATCATTAAAAAAAATATTGGGTGTGTGTTTATGTGTTGAGTATGTTGCCATCCATCAAAGTTGGCCATTTTAAGCGTCGATCCCACCAGAGGGTGGTCATCGACGAATATTGAGGTAGAAGTCATCTGACAATGTAAATTGCAGTGACATTGTCTTAAACAGAAATGGTTATATATCATTGTTTAGCCTATTTAAGGTATTACAGATTAACAGCACCATGGACAGGGCCCTCGGAGAGTTGGAACGCGCTACATTCGGGTTTAAAAGTCGGTTACCCCGTACAGTGAAGGTAATGAAAACTCAAAGGAAGCAAGAAAAGGGGTGTCATTTTTCAGAATCACAGCAACCACAAAAAACCCCACCAGGAACAAGGTCATTCAATTCCTGAACCTGACAGCTAATATGTGTTGACTCAATCAACACACTATCAAGTTGAAACTACAGCATCCAAGCGTTCCTTATCATCAATTTATCATCACTCCACCTAAAAGAGGAAATCGTAATATCTTACCAACAATTCTGTCCTCTCCATCAATATAGAATCTGCCTAAATGAGAACGCGATAACAATCGCTGAATTAAACTGAAACAAACTTCCAAGAAAACAACCACAACTTTCTTTAAAGCTTTACTAGAACTGGGGGAACAGAGTTACCTCAAACCAGAGCTAAGAATGACAATCATTTTCCCCAACAGCTCATAACACTGATGATGATACAAACTCGCATAAAAGTAAAAGCTGGCAAAACAAAGAGATAGGTTGGGTTTGTGATTGATTTCGTGCCAATTTCAACTTGTTCATCAAATATGTCTAAGACTATGTAAGAAAATGAAATAATAACAGCTCGGGTTGATTTGTGTTCATGCTTTGTAGGAGTTCGGGTTTCTCTTAACATATGAAGTTCGTGTTGAGTAACAACAAAAAAAAAAAAAAACAGTAGAAATAAGAAACATTGCTTGTGGAACAGCAAAAGATGGGTTCCTTTATTACTTTCACACCAAAATAAATTAAAGCTAAGCAATCAAGTTACAATTTACAGACAATTACATACAAGAGATACATACATAATTTAGCTACAAGCTAATTTGATTGCACAAAATGAAATAGGCTAACAAGAACATAACAGATTAATCACTGAACAAGGTAAATTCAGCAGCCTAGTATCACGGCGACGCAGATTGAGAGCGAAGAACATCCACAGCATAAGTCCACCACAACTCAATGCATGCATGCACAACAGCAGAGCACAAGGCTATCATCTAATCAATCTCTAATACTTCACTAAGTAGCTCAAAAACAGAAGAAAATTTACATATTAACCACACAACAGTCCCCAAACATGCTGCTAGAGCTACTACAGCTGAGAAACTCGGGCATTCGCCACACCAATGGCGATAAGCACAACGAGTTCCACACCATAAATTCAACTGAACTGAGGCGAAACGAAAAGGGTTGCTAAGGATTTATGCAATTGATCAAGGAAGATAGAATTACAAATAGATTGCAACTTGACATTCACAGGAAAAAAACCTTCCCATAGGTTTTTCCCATTAATTTTTAGTTTTTCATTTGAACAAATTCAAAAACTCTGCTGACAAATTACATTGAATTTCAATTCACCACCCAGTCTTTCTTCATCCTCAATCTCTCTCCTCCCCCTTCCAATTTGAACAGAACAGCAGCAGCAGAGCAAAAAAACAAGGAACCCTAAAAAAGGGAAAGAGATTCCTAAACCCTAAAAATCAAAACCCTAAAATTGAATTTAATCAATCAAACAGCAAACTTCCTAATTTGTTCTTCTTTCCTCCCCTTCGAGAAAGAAAACACACAGTCACACTCGATAATAAACATAAACCCTAATTTTAAACAAAATTCACTAAAAATTCCCTGCTCTTCTCAACACACAAAATTAAACAGCAAATGCACAATTTTTTTTTTGGTTTACTTACAATACAATCTCCCAATTCATCCACAAATTAACGAGGATCATCATCTCTCCGACCACCGGAAGACCCACCAGCACCAGAAGCCGGAGCTCCCGACAACGAAGCGAGAAGATTAAGATGATGTCCCTGAGCAATCGGCAAGTAATTCCCAACTCTAGAAGCTTCTCCAAGCGTAACATGCTGCTGCTGGTGCTGGTGCTGCTGCGTATGAGTAAGAAATCTCCCCGCCATCGCAGCCGCAGCCGCCGCTTGTTGCCCAAGAGAACCACCCGGGCCCACAACCATCTCAGGCCCAGCAGCAAAGCTCCAGAAATCGGGCCGGGCCGGAATAGCCCAATACCCAGCAGTCGGCCCAAGTGAAGCCGTTGTAACAACATCTTCCTTATCAACGACGCCGTTTTGAGCCTCGTTTTCCTCGGCGGTAGTCCTGAGGCGCTTCCCTAGTAAAAACGGTGTCGGAGACGGAGACGGCGACGTTTTATTGTCCACAGAAGCGGAAAGCCCCGCAGTGCGAAGATGATGGTGCGAAGCCAAAGAGTGAGGAGAAGAAGTCGAGAACGAGGCGGGTGTTGTGCCTGTACCGGTTGCAGCAATTATCGACGGCTCCGCTTGTCGGAGAAGCCACTCGATGGTTTGACCGTCGGACTTGTGACCCAACTCACGTGTGAGCTGGAACACACGTGCGGCGCAAATAATAGGCATCCTTATCCTTCTACCTCTGCCGTCAACTTTACTGTGCCTATCTTTGGCAGGCGCTTTCTTAACTGCTAGCGCTGTTGTGGCGGTTGTTGTCGAATTATTCTGCCGTTGTTGTTGTTGTTGTTGTTGCTGGGGTTGCTGGTGTTGTTGTTGGTGTTGGGAGGAGAGAGAGTGAGGGTGTTCGATTAAAGCGCCGCCAACGCCGCCGTTGGTTGCTCCGTCTGTCGCCGACATGGGGGAAAGATGAAGGAGTGTAAAATTTGAAAATATAATGAAAAAATAAAAAAAGAAATAAGAAAAGGGGGCCCAAAAAGAGGGAAATAATAAGAAATAGGGGAGAAAGGAGGAGGGGGAGCCCGCCGACGAAGGGAGAGGAGTGAAGTGGGGGAGGAAGAATTGGAGGAATATTGGGGTTATGAAGAGAGAGAAAGAAATGATTGAGAGAGAGAGAGAGAGTAGGAAGCAGGAGCTGGTGGAGACAGGAAGGAGGGCACATGGGTGGTGGGGTACTTACTGGACCCCATTGTCTTTATGGGCCCCATCTCTCTTATCTCTATTTTTTAATCACGGTTGATTCTAATTCGTATCCACAAGACCACGAGACCATCTTCTATGGTAAGAAAAAGAGTATTTATGTGTAGAGGATATCAAAAAATTACTAAAGTGACTATTCTTTTCAGCTTATTTTCAGTTTAGTTTTTAATTTTCTTTTCTCATAAAATATTCAATTTAGCTTTAATAAGTTTAGTTCAGTTCAACTCCAATAAATTTAATTTAGTTCAGCTCAATCAATCTGAACATGCCATAAGTTTAGATACTCAATTTGAGAAGTAGACAAACCGACTGGGTATCACTATTGGGTATGAAAAACAACTCATTTTGTATTTTTTTTTGAGACCACTCATTTTGTATTTTAAAACTTAAAGTTGAGTTTCAACATTGAAGATGGTCTAAGACAGAGTATGTTTTTTCAAGAAGTACTTGAATATGTTACAAACATAAGTCAAAATTGGCTAAATGATGCCCTGTTTTTTAGAGCTACTCTGCTCTGCTCTGTCCTACTCTGCTAAAATCTGCCCTGCCCTGCTTTGCTCTACAGTGTGTGGAAGCCTAGCCCTGCTCTGCAATTTGCTCTGCCCAGAATCTCAAAAGAACATGGTAGGGATGGAAATAGGGCGGGTCGGATGCGGATGATGGTACCTCCATACCCATACCCAGCTAAAAATATTATACCCATCCCCGCTCCACCACCCGTGGCGGGTACAATATCCACATCCATACCCGCCCCAACGGGTACAAGATAGGATCCATCTTCGCCCCATCACCCACTTGGATATTCATACCCACCTCATACCCGCCTCAAAATCGTCCCAAACCCTTTGCCATGATGCTCTATTGTATCACATTAATGACAATTATATCAAATTAGGTTAAGAAAATTGGAGCTTTCACTGTTCAAGCTTATTGAGTCTTATGGGTATCAAGTTTCATAAATTCTCAACTTTTCTAAAAGAAATATGGTGCGGGTATAAGGTGGGTACGGGGCAGGGCGAATATGGGGCGTGTCTACTGATATGTCTATTTTATATAGTATTTTACCCCCGTCCCTTGGTCATAATTAGTAGTGTTTTTGGCTCTTTAGGGCCACTTTTGTTTCGGGGTATTTTTACCCCCTTTTATAGACAAATGAGAGGCTAACTAATGGCCCAATAGTAAGCCGACACGTGGCATCATGCTCAGCTAAATAAAGGCCATTAAGAGCATGACACATGGCCTTAAGAGAGATATCAGAAAAACAAGGTGTTTTGGGTGTTTTTGTCCCTTGGGAGAGTTACAACACGAAGACTGGTCCGCAGTGAGCTGTACCTGCAAAACAAACGGAGACACCGGTTGGGTGGTGCTCCGCCTCCGACGCACAAGTCAGTAACTTGAAACGGAATAGAGAGAACGGAAATTTAGGTGGGTATCTACTCGGATTCCAAGCTCAGGTCTTTCTCTGATGTAAGAGAACAAGGGTGTAATTAATGATTCAATGTGTCCCCCAAAGTGGGGAAATATCTCCCTATTTATAGGGTCGTTGGAAAATGCGCCCCTATCTAGGTCACTTGACCTAGATTTTAGTGGGCTGCGCCGTTTTACGGCGTGCTTAGGAATCTGGGCCTATGAAGGTCGCCATTTTGGAAACATATCTGAGGGAGCCAAGTGTCAAGAGGATGTTGAGCCACATAGGCCATCCTAAGCTCGACACGTGGCGACCTCTCATTGGTCCACGTGTCTAGGGTAAAAATACCCTAAACATTTGCCCCTCACAGGTCGCACGTGCATGTCACGTGGGGCCTGTGACACGTGTCCACCTCTCATAGGTGAGCAGTAACGGGGTAAAATTTTGAATTTCAAATCAAAATTTCCCCCCCACTTTTACTTTATATAAATAGAAAGTTACCTCCCCTCCTTTTCACACTTAACATTTACATTGACTTTTTAGAGAGAGAAAAAGAGAGATTCTAGAGAGATTTTTCTCTGCTCTCGCCTGCATAATCAACGAGTTTTCAAGCTTCCGAGTGCTAGAAGTTCATCACCCGGCTCACCGGTTGTAGCGGTTTTCAGATTTTCCAGAGTTAAAGCAAGGTAACCGCCTGTACCATTTTAGCTTTTCTCCCTTTCAATTTGCATACCGTTTTTTGCCTGTATACCCAGCTTTCTTAATAGAACATAAATGAGTTCCCAATCCACCCACTCGGCACTGCCTAGGACACTCAGCCGATCCCCAGGAACGGCTGAGTCTAGGACAGGGGGTGCCTTTTCTGGACTGTCGGAACCAATATGCTCATCTCCGAATTCCTCCCTCTCTGTGTCTGTGCAGGACACAATGGCCAGAACGAAACAAACGGCCAGGCGGTCTAAGAGCCGGCGCACCATGAGAGTGCCTGCCGATGAGGTTTTCCCGGAAGGGGATCCGAGGAATTTGGAGGAGAGCGGATCTGACGAGGAGGCTCCCTCTACCTCCGGGAGCTCGGGAGTAAGAGAGGTGGACGGCGAAGGAGCCGCCTCCTCAAATGAAGTCGGCGACGCTGAAGCCGGCCAGGGTCCAAGAGCAGAATCCTCCGGCTCTGACCAAGGAGATTTCGCGGCTAACTATCAGCAGCCGCCCAAAGTTGCTGACCATCCCAACCCCAAAAGAACCCGGATGCTGCCGAGTAACATTGCCCTTCTTAATAGCGGGTTCAGGGCTTTTAAAGAGAAACATCCATTTGGAAAGGGTTGGGAAGTTATTGTCCCTCCGGCTGATGTTGTGATGGCCTGGGGAATGACATTGACCATGCAGATGACTACTTCATCTGCTATGAGGCGGAAATAGAAGCCGGCCTCCGGTTCCCCCTCCACCCCGGGATTAGGAAAATCCTTAAGGGGTATGATCTAGGGGTTTGGCAGCTCACCCCTAATTCGTGGGTGAACATATTGAGTTACATTGCCGCCTGCGAGTTCCAAAACTTGAACCCCAGCTTCTCTGCCTTCGCTCATATGCACTACTTGAGCAAGGCTCCAAGCGGCCATGGGGCATGGTATACGCTGACTACCCTGCCCCAATATCTAATGACTTTGGACAAAGTGTCCAAGTGGTCCGGGTGGAAGGACAAGTTCTATTTGATTTCCTCTCCAACCCTAAGACACAACCGGACACTACGCCGGTACAACACTGAGCCGGCTCTTCTTGGCATAAATGCCCTCTCCCGTAACTATCTACTAAAGCCCGGGAGCAAATCATGGAGCCGGGATTTTTTGAGACAACAACTGAGCCCATGGGGGATGGGACTCACATCATAGTTCCCAAGAACTGGATCCTCCATCCGGACTTCTTCAAAGATGAGTGCTTCTTGTCCGCCTGCGGACTGAGTACGATGTTTTCCAGGGGTAGAATACTTCTCATACAGAATGATTGTCATTTTGTTTTTATTGCAAACTTGCCTTAATTCTTTCTAACTTGACATTCTTGTTTTTGCAGAAGAAGCCCTGAGGATGGTTGACCAGGATAAGACTCCTGCTAAATCTGCGGCGCTACTGCGCAAGGAGGCGACCCTTGTCAAAAAGGCAGCCGTTGAGGCTACGAAGAAAGGCGGGGTAAGACCGCTTGACTTTATGTTTGCATATATATATATATATATATATATATATATATATATATTAAACATACCGGTTGGGTATACTTATATTTTGCTTCTTTCTCAGGAGTCCGCCAAGAAAATCCCTCGATCATTCTCCAAGCTTCTCAAAAGGCAGGGAGATGATCTGGAGAAGGCTCCGGCTGCCAAAGCCGCAAGGAAGGATCCCCCCCAGAAGCAAAGTTCTGCCCAATCTGGTCGTCCAACGACTAGGGGCAAATCCCCTGCTGTTCTGAAGAAACTGAGTGAAAGCTCAGAACAGCAGAAAGCGCCGGAGGCCTCTACGGCTTCGAAGGGTGGCGAGCCACCTAAGGTTGCAGGCGGTGCGGCAACCGCTGGGGGGGAGGACAAGCCGGAGACCCATCCGGAAGTTCAGGGTAAGGAACGAACTAAAATACCTTGGCCACTTAATTTTATGAGAATTAAGGCTAAGGTTTATTCTTCAAAAGGGTCAGCCAGCAGCCGGCAACGGATGAATGCCAGCTACGCTGCTTCTATCTCACAAAGAACTACTTTTGATGCAGATCTGCTTCCTAACCCGCCGGATCTCGCCGGCTTCGCAAAGCGGATGGTGAGGACCCTCACCCGGTCTGAGAAGGCCTCCATACCTGATCTACAGGTCGTGGATTTTGACCGGATAATGGGCTCTCTGGCTGAGGTACATGATTCCTCTACCTTGATGCCTTTAATCTTTATTCTGACTAACTCATAAACCAGCTGTTATTGATTCAGGCCATGGTGAGAGTGGACAGTCTTCGGGGCCCCTTCAGGCGGAAACAGGAAGAGGTAAATGACGCCAAACGGAGGGCCCTAGAAAACCTCAACTTTGCTAAACATTCTGATTATATGTGTAATTTAAAGATTAAAGCAGTAGATTTGAAATAGGAGGAGTTGATCCGAAGTTTAACGGCTGCAAACGATGAAGCTAACAGCCGGGCTAATGACCTTGACAAGCAGCTGAAGGATGCCAAGTCTGATCTCAAGGCATTAGAGGATGCTGACAAAGAGAATGCCCGCTTTGGACTGACAATGACCGCCTGAAGCTCGAGCTCATGACCCTGCGCAACAAGCAGGCGGATGAGCTGGCCAAGGAGAAAACCCGGCTGACCGAGGAGAATGAGCGGGACAACTTGGCCCGGCTGAAGATCACCTGGGGCCTCCTCTACCCAGAAATAGACTTTGAGGTCTATAAGCTGAGGTATGATTATGCCACTGAGGTGTATGATGCCCAGCAACTGGGTGATGCTCCTCCGCCTCGCTTCCAAGACTGGGCTGCTGAGCAGGGATATGAAGTCTCGGATGATGAGGAGTC